AAGTGGTTGTTGTGTGCTGAGGTGTAGTAGTGCATGGGTAGTTCGTTGTTGTGTGCTGAGGTGTAGTAATGCATGGGTAGTTCGTTGTTTTTGCTGAGGTGTAGTGGTGCATGGGTAGGAAGGGAGTATATGTTGCCAAGAGTGGACTATGCATTCCATTTTAATCAAAATACAGATACCACCGGGTATAGTAGAATATACAACCTGTACAGAAAGTCTTTTTGAGCACATAATTGGCTTTCCCCCGTACTTCTGACAGAGAAATTTGTGAAACACAAGCAGGCGTACCGCTTTAATTCCGGTATCCATTGCCCTGTCCCCAAGCCCGGACCTACCCACTGTACACGCCACTCATGCCATTCCTCTGTGATGTAGGTATGTGAGCGAACGACACCACATCATCCAGACGTACCAGCAGAGCCTCAAGCGCACCAAGTGCATGTACTATGCAAAGGGTCCAAACGAATGTCCCTTTGGCACCAGCTGCTTCTACCGCCACGAAAACCCCGACGGCTCAGAGGCACAGGTCAGACTCAGACACTACGACGGCCAGGAAGGCCCTCAGATCCACCGTGACTACAGGTGCGTGTGGAGTGGGGGGTTCTATAGGCGTGGTATGGTTGTAGGTAGAGTGTGTGGCATGGTTGTAGGTGTGGCATGGTTGTAGGTAGAGTGTGTGGCATGGTTGTAGGAAGAGTGTGTGGCATGGTTGTAGGTAGAGCGTGTGGCATGGTGTTTGCAGTATGTGTGAGAGGTGGTTTTAGGGGTTGATGGTTGGCACGCATCTACGCCAAGATGCATGACACCTCTGTGGTTGTGCACAAGGTTTGGCTGTTTGTCTCGGTGTCGCCTGTTGTGGGTAGATGATCCGCAGACTCTTCTGTCATCCCGTGTCATGCCTGTGGTTGTGTTGTGCCCATCGCATGTGGTGTGGGAGAGGTCTGTGTCATTGGTTGTGTGCTCGGCTGTTTGTCTGGGTGTCGCCTGTTGTAGGTAGATGATCTGCAGACTCTTCTGTCATACCGTGTCATGCCTGTGGTTGTGTTGTGCCCATCGCCTGTGGTGTGGGAGAGGTCTGTGTCATTGGATGCGTGTTTGGCTGTTTGTCTGGGTGTCGCCTGTTGTAGGTAGATGATCCGCAGACTCTTCTGTCATCCCATGTCATGCGGGTCGGATGCGGCTGTGGTCGTCCCAGTTGACATTCAACATCCATCCATCTCCATTGGGTTTTAGGGTTTTTACTGCGGTGTACGAGCTCCTCTGTGTGACGGGTGCTACATGGGGCACATTATCTCATTCTCTGTGCTATTGTTGTACTTATGGCATCGTTGTCGATCATTTGCATTGAGCTGTCTGTGCCATATGTTCGTTTGCTGCTACTTAACCATGATGAATGAGATAATCTCATTTCCTGTGACTTCACTTCTTTGTACACATCCGCGTATTCCTCGGTTTGTCTCATTCGACCTGAGCCCTTTTTCTATTCAGCTTTCTCTCTCGGGTGTGCCTGAGGATATGATCTCTCCTAATCGTCCTATACTCCAAACTCAAAAACCCTAAAACCCCTAAAAACCCTAACAACTGTTCCCATCCCGTAGGTTATGGGACTATTTGGCCCAAGCGGAAGCGCCCGAGTAGTGGATGCTGCCAAGGCCAATGACACGAAGTGCTTCAAACGGCACACTCAATCCTTAGCCCACTCGGTCTGTCACGAAGCCTCGACTGAGTATCCACGTCTTCCAGGTGAATAGAAGACAGCGTCGCTGGCCGATCGATCTCCTTTGGCGATGCTGTGAGTAGTGCGCGGGATCGTTGTGATGCTTTCTCGGCTCATAGACTCAGTACAAAGAGTAGAGCCGATCCATGGATGTCAAGCACATCTTCACAGGTACATCTAGATCTATGGCGACGCTGGCATATCAACAAGTGTTCTGATAATCGTAAGTGGCGTTGCAGTAGACACACTGTGATCGGATTCAGCGTGCCACATTCAGGTTGCAGTGGGAGAGGCTATAGTCATCTCAAAGGACGTGCAGGGTGGTTGTTTAAATCAGTACACACATCTGTCTAACGGCCTGTGAGGGAGCCACGTGCGATGACTGACATGAAGCCATCCACCGACATGCACTATGTCTGCGCTCGCATTCCGAATGGGCTGTGTGGTGTATTGCAAACTATGTGTTGCATTAATAAAACCCTAAACCCTAAAACACTATGCGTTGCATTAAATAAAACACTAAACCCTAAAACACTATGCGTTGCATTAAATAAAACCCTATACCTTAAAACACTATGCGTTATATTATAGGCTGGACACACTATAAGTTGCACTGTACACCATCTGCGTTGTATTTTAGGCTGAACACACTCGGCTGAGATGTGCTTCCGTACATTCATTGCTCTTGACGGCGGCCATAGCAACTGCAGCTTAGGTAGACCACGATATGAGTATATATATACAT